ATATGTAAAGCTTTCAAAGTAAAACGTAACATTTATTGCATCTATTTTTTTTGACATTAATTATTATCAATTACTGGCTACAATTATTGTCTTTGATACTCCCTTCAGTTGTTCCACAAATGAAACAATAGTAAGTATTACATTAGGTACACCTGGATAGACGCCCCCTCGCGTAAGAGTAGTGGTATTAAACAGATGCATGCATACCATGTTCCATACTCTGACACATATCATGTGCGGTTTGTGGTGGTGATATTATAGTTACGAATTGATTCGTGTGCGATTCATGGAATCTCTTTTGACATGAACCGAGGGTCATTGATGCGTCTAATTATCGCATTCCAGGCCAGATTGACATTGGGTTATTCTCTCTCTCTCTCTCTCTGTCCCTCTTCCCATCCCTCCAAACTGATAATTGAGTTCCATACCAATAATTTTCGAGAACGATAATGTCGAGCCTCGGTCATTGTTTAGGGGTATACATCCAACTGGTATTAGCTTTTAACCCTCATTTTTATTGTTTCTACATCAACTAAACACTTTTACGCGATGATCGGATTTAATACGTAAACACGTACCTACATAACATGTTGCTGCTTCAAGCCCCTGAATCCGTTTAAATAATGCAAATATGCCAGAATTGACGTTGCTACTGAGTCGAAAATCCAAAGTCTGCTTTTCGCATTAGAGACGCCCGAGGTGAACATTCCGTTTTGGAAGGGAATTTTCCTGGGACTCCGATTTTCTCTCGGTGGTATGGGTTGTTTGAGTTATTACTGTAGATACGCGCATATAAACAGGGGTGGGGGAGGGGGGATAAAATGAAAGCTTCACTTCGGTGCGACTGTAAAGCTACAGGGTGGAGCCGCGGAAAAGCGGGAGCACCTCTGCTTGAATGTGGTTTTTGCCCTTCGTGCTCGTCTTAAAGTATTTGTGTCAGCGTTGAATGTAAAGCTCTATGCTAGAAAGTTGGCACCTATACGGAAAACCAATGCGGAGAGAGAACAGGGCTGATTTATATTCCGTTAACAGGTTTTGCTTTCACAGCTTTTCCCGTTACTTTTGTTCTATTCTACCTATACGTACTTTTCTAATTGTTCTTGAGATCAAGTTTTCTTCAGTCGATGTTTGGTTTTTGTTGAGAAATTCTTGCTGTAAAAAAAAAAGAATATATAGTTATTTGAGAATTTTAAAATAATTGAAACCATAAGGTTTGCACACAAATATGAACAAGTATGGCTTTGTAAACTTACTTGTAAACTTTATAAACATTATTTTTTCAAGGTAAAATTTTTCTTAACTCAAAGGGAGTTTGTAAAAAAATGAGATATTCTGGTTCCTGTAAAAGTTTAGAAGATTGAAATATAATTTTTTTTCACGTACTCCTACTGAGTTAAAAAAACAAATTGCATATCATGTTAAATTAATATTGAATAAAGTCTAATGATTTGAAAAACCAGATAAAATTTTTAAAATGGTAAAAAAAATCAGACAACATTGAAAAATTCAAATCTCATAAAAGTCCACTTTTAAAAAGAAGGTTCAAAAATGTCATGCGAATTTGACTGTTGTAAATATTTATATACATATTTTAAGTGCTGCAAATTATTATTTTTGTATTCTTTTCTAAAGTAGTAGAGAGATCTACCACCACAATATTTTTTCCAAGCTTTAATGTGTTCAAATTATTGAAGTTTACGAAAATATTATTTTGTTAAAACATATATATACAGTTGTGCAACGATAATTTGGGTATATTTAACTTTGGAAAAGAATTATTGTGGATCTTACTCAAATTGTTTTTTAAAGCTCAAGTCTATAATTTTTTGGCCCACCATATTGGTTCCGTTATTTGAATTTTAAAATTAATTAATAGCTTTATATTCAGCTACTAAAAAAATTCTGTACACAACGTATTGTTGCGCCTAATTTCAAATTTGAATATTTCTTGGCCGTCTTATTGGATTCGTCATTCTAAATTTAAAAAAAGTAGCAGTTAGGCATACAAGAATATAAAATATTATTATTTCGAGTACCTGCTTTCACTAAATTTAATGTCAATCCATGAAATATCGAGACGAAGGTCTAATTTTGTCTATTTAATCTCACTGTGCAAGGGGAGGTAATGTGTATCTTTTTTAGTTTGAATGCTAATCCAAATTCAATGTTAATAGAGAATCGCAAAACTTCAATCCGTGAATCCAATTTTAAAATGAATTTTTTGACTAAAATAAAGAAGGAAGTTTTTTAAATATACTGTTTATTTGACATGTTTTCTTGGCCATGTTGTATTGGGTCTGAAAGTTAAAATGAAATCGTACTAAAAAAAAAGATCTGAATGTCCAAACAATTAATTATAAAAAAGCACAAAGTCACACTACCTACATTGCACATAAACCCTTTGTCAAAATATGTAAATACATAGTCAACGACCCTATATTATCAAGTTACAACGAGTTACAAGATGCTTTGATATCTGTCTTATTTGGCTGTTACTGCTAACTCTTGGTATATTTCACTCCGCGCCAAGTAACTTCCATGCTGTCTCCGTTATTTCTGTTCTACTCAATTGCAAGGTTTGTCTACTCGATTATTAGTTTAGTAGATGTTAAGCAAAGTCCCATGGTCACGACATCGGTGCAACACATACAGTTGACTTGCAGGACCTCCCTCATATGTGTAGGTTTCTGAAACTCTACTTCTAGCACTTGGAAGACTGTACAAATTGCTAAAAGAACTTGCAATTTCATAGACACACGCGTGGTCCACGCACAGCATGAGCCATGCCAAAAAGGATGAGGGTATGTTGTATAGCCAACGTGTCACCAAGCTCAGCGCAGCTCGGAGCCCCTAATGGATGTAATTAAAGGACATAATGGAGCTTATCAATCTCGCTCATAGCTCCCCCCTCTCCCCCTCATTCTCTGTATCGGTCCATCGTCTGCTGCGATGTAAAAGACTATAACGCGCATATTATGCGCGCCTGTACACAGCAGCCAACAAAGTTAGCGCTCTGGGAATTTCAGAATTTCGCGGGCTATGACGAGCGTTCGCGTCGGAGGAAGAACGAGAATGAGAAGAAGTCGGGGGAGGGTGAGCGAGAGGGTGGAAGGGCAAAGCGGGTGCGGGTTGCAGCTGCTGCGCTTATAAAGAGCCCAGCCAAGCGAGGCAGAAGCGTGCAAGTATATAGTACGCACGTACACACACACACATATATATATATATATATATATACATATATATATATATACATATAGACGCAGTGGAAGCTGAGTCCCGGAGAGGCAGCTCTTACTCCCCCTCACCCCGCCGGGCTGGGTGCTGCGGGTTCAGCAGGTATCGCGTATAGCGCTAGCGTGTATATGTACGACATAGTCACATAGACGCTTCCCATTCACGTGGTACAACCTAGGTAAGTATACCCAGCCATCAGCATTACTTCCCTTCTTCCATGGATCCACCAGACTGCTGTTGGACTGTGTGCGTTCCATCGATTTTACGTTGAGCGCGCTCCGAGCGGCCACCCGGCCAGCTATACCTACAGCTTGCGTGTATATATATGTGTACCACCATACCAGCCTTGTCCGTTGTCGAAGTGTGTATTATATACCTGTGTAGCGGGTGTGCGCCAGATGCGTCGAGCTTGCAAACTATGCCTAGGTATGTATGTATATATATATGGAAGCGCCAAAATCACATTGCAATTTATCAGTGTTTCCCAGGAAAATCGCCGAGTCGGGGTGGGCGCGTGTATAAGAATCGTCGGACCCGTTCCCTCTCGCCTAATTAAATTGCACTTTGCACGGCCAGCCGGGTGCCGAGTCGCTCGGTATCGCGATAGCGGAAGTCTTTACGGGACTATAGCGCAGCCTGTACGGACCGCTTGCCTTTTCTTCGTTTTACACCGGCCAACTTGCCGATACACTTTTCCTCCCTCTATCTTCTCTTCTTTTATCCCTTGGGTTTATACCTTTCCGATGTTGTGTTCTTCCATCGAAGCATATTGGATATTTGTTCCCCTCCCCCCCTTTTTTTTCTTCCGTGCAATCAACTCCATGGTTTACTGTCACAGTTTTTGCCCCTGTTTTATGAAGTGACAAATCGTCGCTTATTTTTCTCTATTTTGACTGTATTTCATTCTTTTTTTCAAGTACATGGAAAGTTGATGTAATTAGCAGAAAAGTGCTCCTATTTAAACACTGATTTTCTCAAGAGAAAACAACCGTATTAAATTACACGACATGAAAACCCCGTTTATCCATGAAAGATGATACGGCTTAACAGAGCGCTTATAAAAAGTGTACCTCTGTCCAACGCGAATGATATGGATGGCGTATAAATAGCTTATGCCGTACACGTGCTTCTTTTAGACTCGGAAGCGCGATGTGCGATGTACGGTTATGAATAATGAGGCACGTATAACCGTTGAAAAATTTTAAGTTTACGCTTCTTGCATCGTGAACAAAAAAATGTTGGAACTGTTGTTTCTCTTGAAACTCATAGCTTTTAGCAGTGACATTGCTGAATATGTATTTTTCAATTGATCCCGCAAATTGTTCCATGCAATTAAAAATTATAAATGATGTATATACATTCGTATAATTTGGGGTTAAGTGGTCAAAACTACAAAAAGTCGTACTTTTGACCTTCGATTGGGTATTATTCACGCAGCATCGTAATAAACATGATTTATGTTTTTTTTAAAATTAAGTTAGATTAACGACCAATGACTTTTCTCAGTTCAAAAATTCGCCTTCGTCAGCTGCGCAGATGTTAAAATCCTAATCAATAAAACACCACGATGACAGATAAAAAATGCGTCCTTTTATAAGGGTCCATCGCTATACGTTACACAATACACACTTATTGCTTTAGACTATTAATTTCATGGGTGAGCGTAATTAATCATAATAGTGCTGTAAAGAAAAATTTAAACGAATTAAAAATAAAAAAGTGAGATAAAAGTTTTTGTACGAAGTAACTTTTTTCTGCTTGCAGGAGGTGGATGGCGAAAGTTAGAAGGACCACGCTGGGCATATTGCTGTTGGCTACGTGTATTGGTAAGTGCTCAGGGAACTCCGGGTATACAAGGCTCGAGAGCAACCCCAACTAAACTTCTCTGTATTTCAATTCTATGAAGTTAAACCGCTTTCACCAACCAAACCATTATTATCTGCCCATCCGTTTCCCAAAATTATGCATTTCATCGGACTAGAAGCTTGGCATATTATTATGGCATATTATCAAAACTTGTACAATATCGATTTCAAACTGAAATAAACCTCGAGTCCCGTAACAAACTTGAATACAACAGTTATTGTACTAACTTCGTTTACGTTGTTTTTAGTAAGTGATTAGCTCATTATAAATTTACTCGATCCTTATGTTTGATTTATTTAGTAACTGTTTGTGTATTTAAAACCCTTTAAAAATTCTGTAGTATCTTTTAGGTATGTACAAAACCTTAAAGAGCCCACCAAGAGTTAAAATTATGATGATTTAAAAAAAAATACTTTTTTCAGCCATTCTGACAAATTGTTGCATATGACGGCTCTGCATAGCTTGGTTACTCTGCATTTGTATGACATTTTTAACATTATTTAAGTTATATTTAAGTTAGTGTTATTTATGTTTATATTATGGTATCTCCAGGTGAGAAGTAACGGAAAAAAATTTTGGCCATTAAAATTGGTCAATGCTGACCTCGACTATCATAGAGCGTTCGAATGCTTCTTTAAAGGCTAAAAAAAAGTTCAAAATAACAAACTTTTAATTCAAAAAATATTTTTTCTCTAATTTTGTATGCATTATTAAATATTACATAGATATTAAGATAAACAAGTGAATTTCCATAAAACTTAATAATTAACAAATAATATAAAACTTTTACATGATAATTTACGGTATTAAAAAAATGCAATCGTTAATAGTTATTAATAAAATACATTTTTCCTACCTTGGGCTACTTTGAGGGTTAGATGTGCCCTCGGTAGGAAAAATAGGGTTTGCATCTGGTGCGCATCTAACCAGGACAAGCACAAGGAGTCCCTCGGGCCTGGTGCTTGTCCTGGTGACATGCGCCACCAGGTACAAAAATTACTATTTTTCACAAATTAAAATCATATGTAAATAATAAAATACAAAAAATAAATAATTTACAGTGATAGAAAAATTTTTCGTATCACTAATTTTTTTGTCACCAATTATATTTTGATAGTAAACTTATCACAGTACGTCGTAATAAAGTATGTGTATATATATAATTCTGAGCTTGGCTTCGATGAAGATTGTTAGGTGAAAAAGAATACAGAGAAAATTCTAATTTTATGCTAATGCTCATAAATTGCTAATTCCAAACTTTGTTTGGACTTAACCGAAGTACTCCGCAACCTGTATCAACTCAGCACTAAGCGTGAGCAACAACATTAGTGCACATACAAAATTTACTTAAGAAGCTTATATATATATATATACCCTTGATACAGTCAATGCAGCAATCTCTATTGTAATATGTCAATCTCACTCTCGTATGAAAATATAATTCTGAACAATTTCAACTTAGCAATCTATAATTTTTTTTATGTATGCCGCAACTGTACACCACTGAAGTGATTTTTGTGGCTACACTATGCACTACTACTGCACTGAATGTGTTAATCCTAACTTCAACTGACAACCTATTTATCCATTTTTTATTACTCAATTAATTTTTAACCCGTAACTATTGGATTTCGACCAACAGATAAGGGAGCTTACAAAAATCACCACTTCATATAAATTTACACAGAGCCTCAGTGCTAGTAATCTTAAAGCTTCCTGTCCATGCTTTCCAAGACCACTTTTTTATGTAAATTTTCATAAGAAAATTTGGTGCTAATGGCATTCTTCAAAACACAATATTGTCGTATGTCCCCCATCTAAGCCCTTATTACTGATTCGTACCTAAACCCAACCAGAGCTAGTCATACCAAAGAAGTGATCAGCAAATGCGGTGCCAATTAAATGGACGTTGAATAAATATTTCTACATTTTTAATCCTGTAGTTACACTTTTATTAAATTAACCGTTAACCAGACAAAATACGATCTCACTTTGTGCCCTTAAAGAGAAAAATAGGATATGCAACTCGGGTAGAGGCCTCCCCGCCCTTGAGCGCACTTTTCGCCCTTCGAGCACTTTCGGCTCTCGGGAAGTGGCACTTTCCACCCAAATGGTGTAATATACTATTTTTTCTCATGAAAAAAGGTAGGTACTGTGTAAGTACGAATGAAATCATGAAAAAAAAAGAAAATAAAATAAAGGTATTTTCAATGTAAGTTTTTTTCATTTATAATTTTACGTTAAAATACACTCTATGGTAAGATCAACTGTCAAATGGTTATCTGTCAGAGTTCTTAAAAGAGAGCGAAAGATCGTAGTCTTTACCTTTGATATTTTGAGCATATCACTGACGACATTGGTTATGCAATATTTTAGCGTCTTCTCGCCTTCAGGAAAGAGATAATTTGTTACTATTAAAATGAATACACAATTGTTTACACAATTTATGATATTTTTTCAACATTCTCAAAGATAAACAAAAAATTTTTTTTACTGTACAAATACAATAATTAATTTCTATTGTGTTTTGTTCACCTATAAATATTCCATTCGTAATTGAAGTGATTTTGTGACTTAAGGACGTTCTCCACACAGTTGCCGGGGAAATAGTTCAGAGAAGAAAGAGAAACGTTAATGTGTGCAGTAAAGCTAGCAATTGTTTTTCTCATGTGGATGTACTCACATACATGCTTTTACGCACACTTCATCCCCTCTTTCTAAATTCATTTGAAAATCAACTTGTAAATCTATTTGAAAATTTGATAGGTTTATTTACAAGTAATCTTTTGTACCCAAAAAATTGGGAGATTCCTACAAATCNTAAAACAACTTGTTAGAAGTCTTAATGTATTCATTTTTACAACGGGGAAATTTTTTTTGGGCTCTAGTATATCTTCTCAAGTTGTACAGTCAGAAAATCTGATTTCTTCATGTATAAGCTTACTAGCAGCCCCCCTGTCTCGGCTTCGCCAGAGACTCACTTAATGGAACATCGTAGTGTATTGAAATGTAATGTGAAACGTTTTTAGTGAAAAATTATACATCTAGTTCTGGCACTTCTCAGAACAAAAATCTTCTTATTATAAACGTACTTGTTTGGAATGCATACAATTTATTTGGTCAAGTAAAAAGCTGTAAAATGTGAAAAAAAAAATTATGTTAAAAAGTACCGTGCATTCCTCATATGATAAAATAACCGTTGGCCCTTAAAGGCCGTTAATTTGCAGTTTTCCCGTATAATCTATGAATAGGGTTTTTTTTAATGCTGTAAAGATTCAAAGCTCACAAAAATTTATCATTAAAAAATTTTTTTCTCTTATCTCACAACTTTATTACCACAGCAACAAAGTCCTGGAGCTTAATCTCTACATTTTTTATTGCCACAAAAATACAAATATATATTCTACCTATTTAAAAGTCTGGAAGATTCAAGAGATTACTATAAGGGTTATAGTGAAGAGGTGATCTCTCACTTAGTAAATTATTTCGTCTTTTTTTGACGCCTAAAATTGTATTCATAAGATGCATTTGAAGTTTTGCTTCTAATTCAACTTCTTGTGACTTTTGGCATAGTTGAGACTCTTGTGAGCCCTAAAGGCTATTTTTTTAACTCTATTAGGTTGTAATATATTTGTCGGCAAGGTAGTTCGACATCCGATGAACCTGAAAAGGACCGGTGAGCTTAGAAGTAAAGTCTTTCTTGGCTGAAGTTTCCAGCAAACGTGATTGCCTGGATGACTCAGGGTTTGAAGCTTTGGAGCTAGTTGTAGAGCTCTTTCCCAACGTCTCCTGGTATAACGTCGAAGATGGTGTCCAAAGCACCTTTTTCTAGACTCAGTTTTTTTGGTGATCTAAGGTGGAAATGTAAAGGTTGGTTCATGATGCTTGCCCGTTGGTAACTGTCCCGTTGGCTCACATTTATTATTTTTTCTTCATAGCTGTTAGGTTTTCCCAGCGCAGACCTTGGAGAGGATCGGTGATTCCTGGTTGAATGCTTAAAATTGAGAGGGTAATATAGGGTCGTCGGTCACCAGGGTTCCCAGCCTTGCGACAAACAACTCTGCTTGTGACGTCTGCCAGGGAATAACTGACTTGGTTTAATAGTGGCCGGCTTTACATAGTCTTTGAATTGACGAATTGTCTCCGGAAATCGTAGTAAAAATGTATCAGTTGGCAAGATAATTTAAACTTAGGTGGCCCTTAAAAGATCCGATGAAATTGATGGTTAAGTAGGGAACGTAAATACTTATAATGGCCCTGAAAAGGGCTGGTGGTGAAACTTGCAGCTTTTCCTTATTATTATTCTTGATGATGAAGAGCCAGCTGCAGGTAGCTTGGTGCTTATCCTTTGAGTCTCTGTGTACGGAGATCGTACAAAAAAGGAAATACGCCGCTGACCAAAGAATATCTCGTCTTTAGGTCGTTCCCCAGATAACCAAACGTTCATCGGTAGTCAGGAAAGTGGGCCTGGAGAATACCTTCTCTGTAGATATGCCGTTGGGACGACCACTAAGGAGGCCGTTGTGGCTGCCCGTACTCTTCAGGGCTGTCTTCCCTGGCTCGCATTTGAAGTAGAAAATTCTCTGACGGCACCAGGTCGGATGGGTGAACGGCCTCAAAGCTCTGAAGTGCTGGAGCAGGTTGTGCTCTGGCTAGAAACGTTTTCTGGTATTCCATCGGAGACGTTGACGTTCCGAACGCCTGCTTTACCGTGGCACTTGTTTATTTTGGGGTTATTTTGGGGATCCGGGGTAAGAGCCGATTTATTTCGCTTGCCCATGGAATAAAAGTGTCATCGGTAGCCGGGATGCCCAGCTGCACGACGGACTCCTCTGTTCTTGGTGTAGTGCCGATGATCGACTGCTATGATTGTCTACTCAATGGGGCATCTTACAACCACTCTTCACTATCTTTGGTTGCGGGTGGTTTCAATTTTACCTCGACGCCACCTAGCAGATCC